CCCAGGGCCGTGCCCTGACCAGGACTCGGTTCCAGTAAAGACGGTGCGTGCCAGGGCAGACGCGACCCCGCAAGGCCGCAGAGCCGCCTGGGACCCGGGCCGCGCTCTGCCCGAGAACCCTACCTTCTCCTCTGGACACGGGGACGTCCAGGACTTGCATTTGCCCGTCATGTCGCCGGAGAAGGTGCGCCTGCCGTTGTAGACGTAGACGCGGCCGTCCTCTCCCCCGATGAGCCCCGAGGTCATGTCCGCGATCCTCAGGGGGGCGGCCATGAGCACCTCGTCTGTGACAGTGAGACCAGCGGGAAGCGCCCACTCCCCAGCCCCCCCACTGCCCTGCTCCTGACCGACCGCCCGCCTCCCACAGGCGCCCAGGCCCTGGCTTCCTGCTGATCATTCAACACTGACGTGGCGGCTCTGACATCACCCGCCACCACCTTCAAACGGGACAGCTCACTCTCACTGATGTTTCTCTCTCCCTCACCCTTCCTCTCTGAAATCAATAAAAATATCCACGTATGTATAAAAAAAGTACAGCTCAGCCCGGCCGGCGTGGCTCAGGGGTTGAGCATTGACCTATGAACCAGGAGGTCAGTGTTCGATTCCCGGTCAGGGCACAGGCCCAGGTTGTGGGTTCGATCCCCAGTGTGGGGCGTGCAGGAGGCAGCCGATCCATGATTCTCTCATCATCAGTGTTTCTATCTCTCTCTCCCTCTCCCTTCCTCTGAAATCAATAGAAATATGTGTTTTTTTTTAAAGGTACAGCTGCAGCTTTGCGCAGTGGTAGTATCGTAGCCACTGGGTTTATCTGAGGCGCGATTATCGCTAATTGAAAAAGTGCAGCTCCCTCTGTACACCCGGTGCTGGTTGAACCTGACTCGGAGCACCTACGGCCGGGGGCCACCAGGGGCCAGTGGGGAGGGACCGCGCTGGGAAGAAGGCTACCTAAGCCGTCACCGTCCAGGTCGCTCAGGTGCAGGACGCCCCCGAAGCGGGAGAAGCGGCGGTCCCCGCTGAAGGTGCTGAGCAGGGCGGGCCGGGCGGCCGGGCTCAGCTGGGACATGGGGGTGGCCCCGCCCTGGTGCAGGGTCATGGTCAGGAAGGCCATCTTCGACACGTCGTCTGGAACGAACCACACCGTCAGGGCCGGGCTCTCAGGGCGTCAAGCGCCGAGTGGACTCCTGGCCCGGCTCGGCTCGGCTCCTGCGCCCAGCTTCCCCATGGCCTGTGGAGGGTCACGAGTCAAAGGCCAGCGGGGACAACGTTCCCCGGGTGCCCGTCCTGGGGGAGGGCGCCCTACCTTGTCCCCAGAGATGGAGAACGCGCTCTGGCGGCCTGGCGGGAAGTAGCCGTCCACCCGGCCCAGGCTCTGCTTCTCGTCCCGCGAGTGGAACAAGCGGCCCAGACTGGAAGGGAGCAGAGGGGGCCCGGGGGCCGGGGCGGGAG